GGGGGGGGGGGGGGGGTGTTGATGCATTGAATAGCCTAAGGCAAGGGAAGATGCAAATATTTCAGTATTGGATAGTATTTAGAAATAAATTTATAATGTAGCAACTGAGTTTTGAAGCTTAAAACTGTATACAGCCACAAGTATAAACAACTTGTGTTTATTTACCCCAACTTGACCATTATTTTCAGAAATTAACATATTAATAGTGATATTATTGTTTACATAAAAAATATAATCCAAATATTGGAATACCTTTTAATAACGAAAATTCTTTGTCAATAAAAATCATTCTTTCAGTTTTATGAACAGTCTTAAATCCTTGGATGATATTTCCCCTTTCTTTTTAGGAAAAAACTAAAAGAAAGATTGACTATACCACAGAAAATAGCAATAGGTTTCCAGGTAAGGAAATCATTGGCATCGTAACCTTATCATGTCTATTTGATCTATTATTTAATCTTTGGAAGATTGAAGTGTACATTTAAATTTTATCAAGATCATTGCTACTATTGAAAATAACAGTGAGGCTCATACATGTCCTTAAATATTAATTGGTAAGACTTGAATTTCTCACCTGTTAGCAGATGATGGTAGATATTAAACTTTTTACAGGCCCACACAGATACCATTGCAAAAGCAGGATCTACCACAAAAAACCGCTACACGGTATGACAAGACAAAAATCCAAAGGACAACAACGTAATAACAGCCAGTTGAATTTAGCCACTGAGACTGTTGAAAAGGACTTTGAAGGAGGAAAATGGCACACTGTCGACTGATACGATAACTTTGTTATGCCTGCCTACACTGGAATTTCATGCAATGTTTGAGGCAGAGGATGTTAATGCTTTGTTATATGCCTTCAACCCCAGTTATGGTAGTTTTCTAAATGAATTCTACCAGTAGGACAAGATGGGCTCTTCCAGTGATAAAAATGTCAGCAACTCAATGTTAGTCTTCACTGGATGTAGATGCATTTGGTCTTGTCAATATATTTGCACATATTTATTGCTTCTGTTATGACTGTAGTAATTGCAGCAAAAAATGCTGAGACATCTTGTTGAAAGAGAGTGATTTAAAATAAGTTCATAATCTAAAATGTGTTATCTTTTTTCCCTCCTTTTGCTTGGGCTGCAGATTAATGTACATTTGTAAATGCAATGGACCAGCTACATTTAGCAGGGAAGTTAATCTAGTTAGTAACCAGACTTAATTCATCAAGATGATTTAACTTTGTAAATTTGCCTATTGGAACCATATCAATACATAATTTGGAGATGCTGCCAATTGTCAAGAAATGAATAGATGATCCCCCCATCCATTATATATGCCAAAATTCAAATTTCCTTTATGCTAAAACACATTGCTGTAACTCATTACTATTTTATATACGAATGCAGCATTTTTGGTAGTGGGTAATAATTGATTAGTGTATTCTTATTAACTGCAATGCATTCTGAATGCCTAGACCCAATTAATTGGTGCATCTTCATGTTGTCAAATTTACTACCATTTTCTGTCTGTTATGATTTTACCCAGTTTGGCTTTGTCACCTTGCTGAGATTTGAAAGGTGAAATTAAACAGGTATTGTTAGTTATATTCTACTGTGTATATGTAAAGAGTGCAAATGTTTTGTAATCGAGAATTGTAAGATTTGCATATTTCAGCAAATAAAAATTTTATAGATTAAAACTTGTTTGGTATCAAAATACAGACTAAGAAGTCCCTGGAAAGAAGTCATATTTGAAGGTCTGATGTGATGGAAATGGTGACTATCATTTTGGGGGAGATATTATATTGGAATTTATGAAGTTAACCAAATTTTATGATGTAGAGCTCCTTGCAAGAACCCACTTTGTGGAGCAAGAAAACCATTTGTTCTACAGAAAATTTTTCTTTAAATTGCACCTTACTAATGAGTTCAATTTCTCAAAAATTGTCTGCTAAGAATAAAGGACATTGTAATATTACTACAGGTTATTTATCATAGTTCTGACTTCTCTGCTTAGTTCACATCCCTGTCTCTCTCTACATCTATAAAAGGGATATGTAGTCTTTAATCTTGGACACGACAAATACCCCCCTCCCATAGTTAATAAAAAATATTATCTCATTCACTAACATTTTGATCGGCTGACAGGTTACTGTGGCTGTAGTGTCTAGAGGCTAATGAAAAGACCATAATACCCATTTCAGGTTGGAAAGGATGGTTTTCTGGTAGGAATCTGTACATTTCACATTACAAGAAAGGACAAGCTAGTACACAAATTGTCAGAAGAATATTAATTTAATTGACCATTCTAAACAACCAGTAGCAAAACCCCAGATTAATTCTAAAATTACTTTAGTCATTATTATATAAACGGTTTGAGGGATGTTCTACATTCAACTGAACCATGTTGAAACCAGAGCCAAAACAATGAAATAACAATTGTAAAGTAAAACTTGATGTAAAAGGATAATTTTCAAGTTATAAGACTAAAGCATTCGCAATTTTATCCACTTCATATCTCAATACTGCGCAGATTCAAAGGCTAAACCAAAAGATTTTCATGAAGCATCAGTATATTTCGCCTTTTCATTTTAGAACTCTGCACAAAGCTGACAAAATTTTTGTAGTAGTGTACACCAATACCTCAATAAAACCTAACAATTGCCACCAACACCAAAAGAAACAGAAACACAAGAAAACTGACCAACTAGAATGTGTGAAGCATGTCTTGAAAAGTCGACAGTCAGGCAGACTTTTTTCTGACAATCTGCTGAAAAAAAGATGGATACCAATAGTTACTATAAATCTTTCTTTTCTTAAAATACACTGGAGCTTCTTGTTCTTCAATTAAGAGTATCAATTCCAACAGCAATCCTCATTCAAAACTTGGGTGATCAGACATTTTACAACTTTACAGTAGTTTCCAGGGTGCAGAAAATGCACTTAATTAAGAACTAAGTAACATAATTCTATTTTGTTTCTGGCTTGAGCTTTAATGAAACTTCCATCTGTTTGATATATTTTCTATTTAAGCATCATCTACCTTAAATACACCTAGTGACTTTTTCAAAAGCTCTTTTTTCAACCGTGGACCCCCAATGGTACTGTTGGTCCATAATTTGACTAGAACACCCCTCTACAAAAACATTGGATGTTCTGAAAATGTACAGAGATTAAACTGATCAGCAAACATGTTTCAGTCACCTTTATCAGAGTAAAGACAGAGTTGCACATCCTTATTTGGTGTGAACTATAAAATCACATGTAAAATCTGGGAACCAACAGCATATAGACTGCTGCAAAAGTTGAACTATTCTGACTTAAAAGTACTTTCCGCTGACGAGTGACTAAAATGTTAAGCAATGCTTCTGTTGCATTCATGAAAATGCTATGCATAAAATATATCCCTTACTTAAAAGTATGTCCATCATTTCTAAAAAATGAGTAAATGTGTATTCAATCTACCGTTAAGATGATAAATGAATAAAGAACAAAAACACAAGTTTGTTTTTGATCTTATGAACTTTGATGACTCTAATGTATTAATGCCATTTCATCCAGTAAAGTTGTGTTGAACTATGTACAGGTCTTATTTTCATTCAGTGCCACTAATCTTCATCATCATCATCATCATCGTCGTCATCATCATCATCATCTTCCTCATCATCATCTCCATCTCCCTCACTTTCATCCTCCTCCTCCTCTTCTTCTTCATCGTTGTCATCATCATCATCATCCTCTTCTTCATCATCATCATCATCATCATCCTCTTCTTCATCAACATCATCATCGTCCTCATCATCATCGTCTTCTTCATCATCATCATCATCATCAGTCTTTGTCTTTTTTTGCTTCTTTGCAGGTGGCTCTTTTTCTGAAATTTTCAATCAACAAATTTCCAATATGTACTAAAAGTGAGAATAAAATATTCCTATATCATAATCTCTGATATATCAGGATAAACACTTTCTGTTATAATCTATTTTAAATCTTAAATCTTATCTTTAAATGAATGCTCTGGCATCCAAAGCATGTTTATTTTCAGAGAGCATGCTTCTTGAGAACTCACCTGTTTTTTTCTGTTTTTTGGTGTTCTCTTTTTTGCTTTTTCGTGCATATAAAACAACTATTTTTTTCCCTGAAATCTTTTTCTCTTGCATAGTGTCATGTGCTGTTTTCACATCAGCCTCTATATTAAAATGAATAAATGCATACCTACAAAGAAACAAACACATTTAAAGTTTCAATCAGTGAAAAGCAAGGTTATGTAAAAAAATATTTCAACTGATTTAAATAATGCAAAAGACAGTTGACAATTACAAGAAAATTTACAGATATTAGAACCCAAGTTAGGTTTCATGGTTGGTTTCTCATCTCTTCTTGATCAAAGAAAATGATAACAAAATGTATGTCAGTTTATCAGTGCTCACCCCAAGAGCTTATTGTCTCGTTTACGGGTTGGTATTGTTACCGAGGAGGCAGCTGGAAATAGCTTCTTTAGATGTGAGGTACACTCTGCTTTGGAGAGTTCATTGGAGAAACCAGTGACATATAACTTGAGTGGATCTAGGTCCTCTGAAATGTAATATATGAGAAATATGTAGAAGAGCATGAATGGAAGATCAATTAAATAAATTATCAATCTTCTTCTCATGCTAGTTAGTGGGATATTTCATATCCAGTGGCTAAAAATAATAATAAATGAATAAATAAATAAATAATAAGTAAATAAGTACAGGGTACTAATTTCAGTTTAAAGTTTAATAACTTCAACAGTTTTGCAGATATTGCAATGAAATTTGAAATATTTTAAGAACATGATGGTTCAAATAAATGACTCTGCCCTTCTTAGTTTGGGCACACATGGCATGGCATTTTTTACTTATGATTTTAATTATTTGGTGTGCCAAAACTTAACTTAAAATTTTAATTTTTTTGTTGGGCCAAAACTAAGAAAGGTGGAGTCATGAAATTGTCAGCATTTATTTAAAACAACATTTTGAAATTCCCAAAATATCCCAAATCTCATTGCAATACCTTCAAAACTGCTTAAGTTATTGAGCTTTGAAATTACTAATGTTTTTTTTTTTCTTCGAGCCACCTGAGATGTCTGCAAATCTTTCAAACTCCTTACGTGCATTCACTTCTTTCTTGTTGGCCCCAAGTTTGCTCTTTTCTCCAACATAATCCACATGTATCTGATTATCCCCAATTTTCTTGCTTGATAAAAGTTTGTGGTTCTTTTCTGCTGTTGCTTCATCTTTGAATTCAAGGAATGCAAATCTATAAGAAAAGATGGAGAAGTAGAGAATGCACTTACCATTTATTAGAAAAAAAGCCAAAAATACTGGAAACACTATATCATTTATAGCTTTTAAAATTATCTTCTTTAAACTTAAATGTACAGCAGAACGAAACTTAATATTCAAGATTAAATCTCAAGTTTCATTTGCTCCACTTTTCTTTGGCACTAATGCTTGGCCTAACTATCTATTGAACAGAGAGATAGGTTCAAAGTTAGTGCAGTTCAAAAAGAAAACATGGTCAGTGGCCTCTGAATCTTTATCGAGTTTAAATATAATTTTTTCTAAAAATGCTTTATGTTTGAATAAGAAGGGTGTTTATGTGACAATTTCTCTCTTAATTTGAAACAAAACAAGAAAAAAGTCTTACGCCAATGATTTAGGACTGCCTTTCTTCCTTACTCTCATACGCACATCCAAAATATCTTTTGATAAAGCCTTCAATTTATCATCTGTGGTGTCACCTGGAAAGCCTTTTATAAATAATGTTTTCCTGTCCCTCAAACCTAAAACACAATAAAACGTCCTTATTAATAAGGTTTTTAAATTAGTTGGGATTACTTTATGGAACACTTCAAGCCAAATGGACAATCTTAAAAAGTTGAACAGTTTAATTCATACTTGTATAAGACTATGAATTCTTGATTGCCCAACTTGCAAGATATGGTTTCACACTATGTAACTCCCCATCCGGCATACCCTGCAACTTCCCATCTGGCATTTTTTATAAGAATCAATGATAATAACAAACCTGGACACACTTCACTAACAATAACTGACATTGGCCACATGCCTTTAATGGGGACTCCCTTAGAAAGTTGCACTAAACATCTTGATATAGTCTACCAGTGTGTATACCACTTAAGGTAGATCGGTCGTTACATGTTCCACCGTTCGAATTTTAAAAAAATTTTTTTGTTTGAAGAGACACCCAAGTACATTAAAAATTTGCAAAAAAAAATTGGGGGTCACCGACCAAATAAGAGAACTAGCCCCAAGTATGATACACCCTGCTTATCGCACTAGTCCCCATTCAAATCAATGGGAAAATGGGTGTTTTTTCACTAAAGCATTATTTTTTATGACTTTCTGACGTTCGAATTTTTTAAAAAAAAATTTTTTATGTAAAGAGGCCTCCAAGTACATTTAAATTTTACCAAGAAAATTGGGGGTCACTGACCAAATAAGAGAACTACGCCAAGTTGAAGTGCATGACACCCTGCGTGACGCACTAGTCCCCATTCAAATCAATGGGAAAATGGGTGTTTTTCACCAAAACGTTATTTTTTATGATTTTTCTAACGTTTGAATTAAAAAAAAAAACTTTTTGCGTAAAGAGGCATCCAAGTAGATTTTAATTTTGCCAAAAAAGTTGGGGGTTACCGACCAAATAAGAGAACTACGCCAAGTTGAAGTGCGTTACACCCTACGTGACGCACTAGTCGGAAGTCCCCATTCAAATCAATGGGAAAATGGGTGTTTTTCTTTAAATCGTTATTTCTTATGATTTTTTTTTTGTGTGTGTGTGTGTGTGTGTGTGTGTGTGTGTGTGTGTGTGGAGAGACATCTAAGTACATTTAAAACTTTCATTATGTTTAACAGTTGAAGAGAGTATACTCCGCTATTTTCGGATTTGTCATACTGATGAGAAGGTGTAAGCCATTAACTTTACAACAAAATTATTGAAGAGAGTAATAAGAGAAATACTCATGCATATGAAAATAGTATATTGTCGTTGCTATTTATTAATGAATATAACATGAACGTGACATCGTAAACACTGTGTTGTCAAGTAAAATGAAGCGTCTGATACAAAGTATCAAATGCGGCATTCACGTGCATGCTTGCTTGCGGTGCGTTCAGTACACTTTGTTTACACTGACAAGTCAAGGTCAGAAGTATACAATTTTTCTGTATAGTATAACACAGTTTCAATTTTGATTAGTGAATTTTCTTCAAGCTGTATTGCCATTTTCTGAAAATTTGTATAAGCTAGGAAATATTTCTCAGTCCAAATTTTGAGTGGCGTTACGACTCACTTCCGGTTTTCGTCGAAATCTAAGCTACGGTTTGCAGCACATTCAGGGTGTTCTACCTCAAAATGTACGCAGCCGCTTTGATTGGAATTTACAATACTTATTCTTAACATGATATAGCACCTACGTGCATAATTTGTGAGCTTTAGCTGTCATACATTTTCTAATGCCAATTCAAACTGGAAAAGGAGCTATTCCGACGATTTCTTGAAGGGCAAGTCTATGAACGTGCTACAGTTGTCGTATGGAATCATAGTCGACAAACGTTGTCGAAAATCTGTATTGATCATACAGAGTTACAGACAGGTTGATAATGTGTGTTTATCTTATAGATAATTGTTTTATTTCCTCAAATTGATAAAACAGACTGAAGTGTCGTTAGAGACGATTGACGATGCGCTGAAATTGCGCAAATCGTCAAATTACGTAACGACCGATCTACCTTAAACATACCGAGAACTGGGTTGAATTTGTTGTAACATCACATACTGCTTTTGTAAAATATTGCTAAAAACATTGCTGTTTACAAATGGTATTGACCTAAACCCTTAAAACAATATGTTTAATATTAAATCGATAGTAAGTACCCACTTACGTAATCTTTCTTCATCGCCTGCCAATTTTTTAACATCTGCCACTAAAATTTATAAGAACAATTGAAATTTTATGACCAGGATATAGGAATACTTAAACAGCCATTGACAGGATGCATTACTTTTTTTAGTGGATAACAGCTATAATTTATTTTAAACATTGTTTACATATGCTAGTGAAATATATCTAAATGATATTGCTAGGGCTACACTACTACTGCTACACTTTCAATGCATGTGTAAAAAAAATTAATAAAACTACATCATGTTTTTTTTGTGGCAGCTGTATTTCCCAGTGCAATTTCAATGGAATTAACCTGTAGTATATTAGCACCAAGAGTAAATTTGAGGATAGAAATTCACTCATTGTTCCATTAATTTTTTAAGAGAAAAGTATATGGCCACAATGCTGACAGATGCAGGTGTGGCTATTTGTACAGATATGCTTGAGTTTGTAGTTAAATAGTAAGAGCGATATATCTTATTATCCTGGCAAAGTTTCTCTATAAAACAAATTCATTACACAAGGAAATGTGGCAACTAATTTCAAGGTGCATCATACAAAAGCAAAACATCAAATATCATCAGCCATCTCCTTTGGACAAAACATTGCAAAGAAAAGTAACTAAAATATAATCAGGTTAAAGATTTACATGAAATGTGTAGTTATCCTACCTTGTAAAAGCAAAGATTTATAAGTACCTGACTCAACTGCCGTTCTCTTCTGTGCTTTCTTTTCATTTATGCTGACCTTTTCAGTTTGTGGTTTATTTCTCTTGCTCTGAATCTGGGGTTGGGTTTCTAAATTACAAAAAGATCAGTGGGTGATAAACCAGTTCAGCTGAAATAGATTATCCATCTAGCAGATGCTATTTACTTTTGCTTTCTATTTTAGTTAATTTGAAACACCAAAATTTAGACAGTTTAAAACAGACTCAAAACAACTCAGTCAATAGTTTAGGATGTGCTACGATACCTGAGCCAAACTTGGTGATCAGTCAAAATAATTTTTTTTCAAAAAGTTTTATTTGACTTAAGAAATTAACAAACAAACAAAATATTTATAAGCACAAAATACAAAAATCACTTCACTGAAACACTACTTTCACACACACACACACACACACACACACACACTCACTTGATCACTCACTTGTTAACATCAATACATAAGTACATTATAACCTTGTGTAACATTAGCAAATTTAGACAAATCTAATGACATTTCAATTCATAAGCACTAAACATACAGAATGGATTTTTTTTACCAGTATGTTATCTTTATCTCTACAAAACAGTTGAAATATACATGCCTTCTTCTTCACTATCCTCCTCTTCCTCCTCATCTTCTTCACCTTCATTTTCCTCATCATCATCTTCTTCATCATCACCATGTTCCTCTTTTTCATCATCTTCATCTTCATCATCTTCATCATCATCATCTTCATCATCACTTTCTTCCTCTATGTCCTCAGAGTCCATATCATCATCTTCAACATCATCATCATCATCATCATCATCTGATTCTTCTTCATGATTTAGACCCTAGATATAAAAACCCATATTTTATTCTCATATCTGTATAATATAAAATCCTTACAAATGGTAGTATATTGTAAATATATAATAAATTCCACTCATAGAGACTGACTCATCCCCTCTTTCATAGTTTTGCAGTCTCAAGGGGTTAATTTTAACATACAAACCACTTCAAATCCCTTTGTCTACTATAAAAGTCAACATTTATCATTTATTAAAATTTCAATGGGGAAATAACACCATCTGGTATATCTGTTTAATAAACTTCAAACATAACAACACTATCATACAGCAAAATATCATTATGAACATCACGGGACATAAAACCTGAAGTTTTGTTAAAAAGTTTTCTTTCACTTACCTTTTTACCATTCTTCATTTTCTTATTTAATTTTTTCTCCAATACATTTGTGAACTGTAAGAAACAGAACTGAGGTAATACAATTTACTTAACTGTGGTCAATGGTTGCAATGGATTTCTTTGACTGGGACTCTACAACTATAATCTTATTGCAAGAAGTGAAAGAAAATTGTCATTAATAACAAGAAACTTTCTCTTGACAGTAAAATCAAGACGAAAACAAAACCATCATGTTCATGTTATCTATCAGATTAAGGCCCCTCCTATACATCTATCCATTCAGTTAGAATGATACTTAGGGACATAGAGAGAAGCAAACTGATACTGCAGTGTTCAAATGAAGTTACAGTGAAGTCTTAACCTCTTCATCACTCAAACTTTCTTCTTCGGATTCTTCCTCAGATTCCTGCTCAAATTTGATTGGTATTATCTTGGCTGCTTCCTTGCCCTTCTTTCTCACATTTTGAGGAGTTTGCTGGTTTTTCTTAGGTGGAGCAGACTTAGGTATATTCTTGGCTGTATTGGGTTTGTTCACTTTCTTAGGTTGTGGTGTACTGAAAACAGGCTTCTGAAAAAATGTTAGGCATGCATGACCTCACTGGCATGAAATAAAATGTAAGCATCAGGGGGGAAGGGGGTGTTTCGTCTCAGTTTTAGGCTTTACATTCTTTGCAGGTAAGGCATCATTCAACCCAATTTTATAAACTCTTGAGACTTCACTAGAATGTGTCATCACTTACAGGGGCGGATCTAGGATTATTTGAAGGGGGGTCTGTGGATGCGAAACCTGACCCCCCACCAACACTAGGCGTTGGGTTTGTGGGATCCGAAGGGTCCCGAAAAAATTGGTATTTTAGAGGGCGAACAGTGCCATTTGGTACAGTTTACAACTATGATTCAGCTATTAAAAATTCTAATTTCAAGAGGGGCCAGAAATCAAAGGGGGGGGGGGGGTCAAGGAGGTCCTGACTGGGGAAAAATCCGCAGTCGAAATCCCCCACTGACTTACAAATTGAGTTTGTAAGTTATGCATGGGGCTGGTGTCTGGAGATTTCATTCATCCAAGACAGCTGGTGTAAAAGGACTAAAAAGTCATCAAACTGGTTCACGAGCCTATACAAAGCACTTTGAATGCATACATGTACTGCAATGAGTGATGGTGGACAAATAGTTTTGCCAGATTCTAGATGTATTCATAGCCTTGAGAGTCTGAAATATAGGGCAGGAGGAGGCCTTACCTTCGGTAAGTACTTATAATGTTAGGCGGAAAACAGAGGTAAGGTTTCCTTACCCCCTTATCATGACTGACGTGGGTGAAAAACATAAGAGATAAACCTCCTTGGTTCCTGTGCCTTCACTGGCTAAAGCAGTAATGGTACATCATACTGGTAACATTACTAGTAGAAGTATCTAGTATTGCATCTACTACATTCTTTGCTAAGGTGCACATTTCTGCAATTTTTTCATTAGTTTTAGAAACTAAAAACAGTAGGTCTACGTAAATGAACTTGTGGCAGTACTACATGTACTTACTACCCATTAGTAAGTACATGTAAAATCTAAATACAAGAAAAAAGAATATAATGTTTTACATGTTCTTATAATCAGAAAAATAAACTCCATACCGATTTTCTTGCAATTTCCTTATTCTTGGTCATATTTAGATTTTACTGCGATGAAAAGAAGCGCCACGGCATTAAATACAATGCGTACGATTTGGTCGCACGTGTGTTCCAGTTCCTCGTGTTATGCTGGACACGAAAAAGACCGGAGAGGTCCGAATGGATTTTAAAAGCTATTAGTAAGATGATGTATAGTTTTACAAATAAGTGCATGTACTTTATTCATAAAAGTTACTTGAATTTAACCAAAAATACTTTATTTTAATTATTAATTTAATAAACGTGCAGTATTATTTCATTATTATTTGTGATTTAAAGAAAACATATTTCTTTTTACTTCGAAACTTTTCAGTACGCGACATTGTACCACATCTCAAAGATAGGACACGAGGCCAGGCAGGAGGTGATAAGTAAGGCGAAATACTTGGTTAAAAATTGACTTGTAAACCAGTTCAAAGAAACCATGGGAAAGAGTAAAGCAGCAGCAAAAGAAGCGGTAAGAAATTAATCAACAATTGTTAATGTGTACATGTGTTTTTTCCTCATTACACAAAATTTATATACTGGTGTAATGAACACGTGGTTCAGTTGTAGCACGTGGTAGGGAAATAGAAAAATTGCTGAGATACAGCATTTAGGATTTTCAAAACATACTAAATAATAATTTAAGGTCGAAGGAATTCACTCTTGGTAACTTGGCAGTTAAAAGATAGTTGGCTTATAATTAATCTGTACTTTAGTAATGTAGTTATAGATATGTTTTGCTATTTAAAAAATTGAATAGCTTTAGCATTACTTGATTTACAGTCTTAATATATGATTCATATTTATGTATGATATCTGATGTTATAATGTCAAAGGGGCTATTGTGTAATAAAAACTCAAACACAGATCCATAAAAGTACATAGCTTTAAATCCACTTTGACTTATTTTGATTTCAGTTGGAGCAGAACATATGTCTCTCATGTACGACTGACATATTCAAAAGAAAAGCAATGTATGTATGTAACCCTGGCAGGTTGCAGGGTTTAAATATAATTTAACCCTGGCAGGTTGCAGGGTTTAAATATAATTTAACCCTGGCGGGTTGCAGGGTTTAAATACCATTTAATCCTGGCAGGTTGCAGGGTTTGAATACGATTTAATCCTGGCTGGTTGCAGGGTTAAAATACCAGTTTACCCTGGCAGGTTGCAGGGTATTCAGTTATACAGCCCTGACCAATATGCAGGGTATGCAAGCAAGGGTAACCTTGGCAGGTAGCAAGGTGATGATGTAGTTATGTTGAAAGGTATATAATAACCCTGGCTGGCTGCAGGGTGAAATGTAATTCCCTGGCAGGTTGCAGGGATCGTAAGGTTTGTCAGCTCTGGCGCCAGAGCAATATGCGAATCATGATTGGGTGTTCACATGTGATCCTGGCGCCACCTGTAGTGTGATGAAATCAATGAATGGACTTTTTTCTCTGCACTGGTTAATGGTTGTGGAGCCATTTATACCATGATGCACGACAGACTGGCCATACATGGAAACGTATTTCATCACAAGTGTAAGTTGTTATATAGATCAATGTTTGTTGAAAACTGTTTGATGTTCTCTTTTATTGACCTGTCTGACACGTATCTGTAATTAGTACATAATGCCATATTAATTAATTCATTCTTTATAGGTTTGAAAGTATGTAGTGTGTAGTATCAAGACACCTGGGCATGGATGTTTTAACACACAGACATACTCAATATATCATTATCTTAATATTGCCTCTAAAGCAACTTGTTTTTAAATGTTTCCAGAAAGTCCTTTCAAAGAAAGTTAAAAAGGTGAAACCACCACCACCACCTCAAGAAAGTGAATCATCAGATGATTCTGACAGCAGTGAAGAGGAGGCAATGGAAGTTGAAGTCGCAAAGGTTGAAAAATTGTTTGCTGTACATGCACTTAGATTACTTAGGGCTTAGTTAAGTATTAAAATGGATAAGACACTGCATTTCTAATTGCTTTAATTGATTATAAGCATTTTTTTAACGTCCACGTTTAAATTCTTAAAAGATTATTTATCAGAAGTGTACAGAAATTTAAAATTTGTAACTTGTTTTAAAATATTTGTATTTATTTAGCCTACGAAGAAAGCTACACCTATGAAGAATGGCAATGAAGCAGAAGAATCTAGTGAAGAAAGCAGTAGTGATGAAGGTAGAATTATTCTTGACAGCATAACATTAAAACTTACATCAAAATACTAAAAATTCAAGCAAAAAAAGCATTTTGTCAACTTAAAATGTTCATTTCATTTTGATTCGGGGGGAAAATGGCAGTTTTTATGATGATGTTAAAATGTGTTTATATCCATTTCAGAAGAGGAAACTGTTCCTGTCAAAGCAAATGGCAAAACAACCCAACAGAAGATGGAGGAAGATGATGATGATGACGATGACTCTTCATCAGAGGAAGAGGAAGAAAAAGGTGATTACAATCTAATGGCATTTATTTTAACTTGTGATGCCTTGTGTTCACAAGTAGAAGCTACATTACAAAATCTGTTTATCAGATATAATATCACATTGCATGGAGCTGTTTATGTGACAGCCTACACCAAAAGGTTACTAGTTATTCATCCAGATTGTTTTCCATTTTGAATTAGCTGCTCCTGCCAAAAAGGCAACACCAGCTGCCAAAGAAAGCTCCAGTGAAGAAGACTCTTCAGAAGAAGAAGAGGAGGAGGAGGAAAGTAAGTTCAGATTTAGCTATTTTGGATTTCCCCTAATTTTGTTCTTAAAGGCAAGGTGTAGTTTTTGCATCTCCTTTTGCATGAATATATAAAAAAACTTATTTTCATTGCATTTTCTTTTGTCCTTTAAGCAAAACCAGTAGCTCCCAAACAAGCTGCAAAAGAAGAAAGTTCTGATGAAGATGATGATGATGATGAAGAAGAAGACGATGAAGGTATGTAATATTTTACAAAGAAATCCATATCTTAAATATAGTAATTGCAAAATGATTTACTCTTAGAGAATGTTTCTGAATTTGCATGAAAATATTTAAGATATGTCTTATAAAAATTTTTGGCTTGATTACAGAAGAAGAAAAGCCTGCCAAAAATACTCAGAAAAGAAAAGCAGATACAGAGGAAGAAACAGTTACAAAAAAAGCCAAAGTGGATGAAGGTAATAGAAGATGATAAAGTGATACAGGAATAAAAAAAAAATCAGTCTATAGAATGAACATGATGGACTTTGTAAGCAATTATTACCCAGTAGACTTCTTGTATTAGGTAAAGTAACAAAGTTTGTAATATATACATTTATTTTTAATAGTCCTGAAATAACTTGGGGAATATTCCAGACTATTAGATTAAGCAAATTGCCCTGGCAACAGTGGAGTAGAGGGATGAGCAGCTAATGAAGTGTCTGATATTGAGATGCATATTAAAAAGATCAGAACATTGACTGTTTTCAGAGAAAATCACCTTATTCTGTGGAAACCTGACAAATGATATGGAAGAGAAACAGTTGAAGAAGTTCTTCAAGAAGAGTGGAATTAAGGTTTCAGAAGTCAGAAAGATGGACAAAAAAAAGTAAACAAGAGCTTCTAAAAATTAAGGTTGATGTTAATGTCATTGGAGCAATTGAATGTAACCTTGTTTTTATTTATGTGATTGCAATGATGATACTCACCCAGCTCGCTTTGAGCAAATGGCTGTGAAGAAACTTTGTTCCAACGCAATTATATCCTGAGTGATCACTGTTCAAATAGAAAAAAATCGTGTTTAATATTCATTAAATTTTGTTAAGTGGTCTTGACAGTTCCTGTAGACTACAACTTGATTGTCACGCACTTAAAAACATTTTTTTGTTGCTTTCATATTTTTAGGTTTGGTTATGTAGATCTAGAAAATGCGGAAGATTTAGAGAAAGCTTTGGAATTAAATGGCTCTGAGCTTAACGGTAATGCCATCAAAGTAGAACAAGCTGCTGCCAAGACTCCTAAAAAAGAGTTTGGAAGTGGAAGAGAAAAGATGCAGAAGAAGCAGCAGGGAAGAGAAGGAAAAGGTATGACTTAAACATTTTGAATGTAACTGTCGTCAGTAGTAGTCACTTTCTAATAGTGATGCATGTTATTTTTTTTATAAAGCAAAGTAAATTTCAGAGTGACCATGATTTGGGAATTTTATATAGCAATTCATAAATTCATTTGTTTCTAAACTTTACCAGTTTTAAATTATTAATTTGTAGAAGAAGAAGACAAATGCACATTGTTTGTAAAGAACTTGTCATGGAGTACCACATCAGAGGGTCTCCAGGAATACTTCCCAGACTGCGTGGATGTCAGGATCCCCATGAATGAAGAAGGAAGGCCAAAAGGGTAGGAAATGGTCTTGAAGTCGCAGGTTTTCAGAAAAAGAGTAATATTGCATGTTAATATCACTTTAAATTAATAGTTTTAGGATGTTTTATGCGACCTTATCAGTCATTGGTGATGTGTGAAATGTATTTAAAACATTGAAAATGGTTTATTTTTATGTATTACAGTTTTGCATTTGTCCAGTTTGAAAGTGAAGACAAGGCAGAGTCTGTCCTGAAGGAAATGCAGGGCACAGAGATAGATGGCAGGGCAATCATGATGGACTATGTGGGTCAGAAAAGCAAGTTTACACCAAAGAAAGGTGGCTTTGATAGCCCACAAGGAAACCGTAGGCAGTCCGTAGGTGAGGGACAAACTTCTGGTTGACTTAACTTCATTTCATACTTCACAAAATGATAGCTAGTAGATTCCCAAGGAATACGATCCACATACAATTAATGTACTGAGTTAAGAAGAAACTAAACCATGTTTTTTTTTTTTTTTTTTTTTTTTCCATAAATGCGAGATTTTGTAAATTGAGATTTTGTAATACAGCTGACGACAACTATTTTTAAATTAATACAGTTGCTGTAAATTATCATGTGGTGACAGGAATAATACTGAGAAGGGCTTGTGTAACAAGAAGTAACTGTACTTATTGCAGATCCAGGAAGTACCAAGGTGTTGATTATAAAAAACCTGTCCTACAGTACAACTCAAGATGGACTGAGGGAACACTTTGAAAATGTTAGTGATGTCAGAATGCTTACAGACAGAGACACAGGAAAGCCAAGAGGGTAATTATCAGTTTTGATCTCATATCAGTGTGATAGTAACGTTATTTCTCTCCTTGGACAAATGCTGTAGTATTATATTCCTTAATGAATAGTATTTTGTATTTTATATAAAATATGAAGATTTTTAAAGATGTCATGTACAGAGGATTTGTTTTCATTCTTTATACAAAAATTGGTCATGAACATGTCCTTAAAATGACCTTATTCATAATCTTGGTAACAATTTTATTGTAGGATTGCCTTCCTGGAGTTCAGCAGCCCTGATGAGGCTAAGAGTGCTTATGAAACCATGAACAACCAGGAGATAGATGGTAGAGCAGTCAAGTTGGACTTTGCAGAAGATAGAGGATCAGGGGGAGGTGGAAGAGGAGGTTTCCGTGGAGGAAGAGGTGGAGGAAGAGGCGGAGGTACTTGTGCATTGTATGCCATAGGTTGAAATGGTTTCAAACGTACTAAAATACAGAAAGTTCAGTTTTCTAAATATATCAAATACATGTTTATTAGGAACTTTCAGAATGAGTTTGCAAGTAAATTTTTGTGATCTTTATGATGACACTCCCAGCTCTCTTTGAGCTTTAAGCGCTGAAGAAAACTTTTGTTCCAACGCTAACCTTCTTCTGATTGGTCACATATAAAAAGCTACATTTGCTGTGAAATAATTTGGCAGTGTCTGAGTTTATATTTAGGGGAATAATTTAATAAGATTGAAATTGATTAGGTGTGATACTTGTGATTTCAGGTCGTGGTGGTTTTGGGGGAAGAGGAGGCGGCCGTGGGGGAGGCAGGTTTGACCGTGGGGGCGGCAGAGGAGGCGGAAGGGGAAGAGGTTAGTGAACTATGCATACATCCTGTTTTTTTATGTACAGACACAGATGTGTCTGTACATATTGCCATCACCTGCGTCTGTCGTCGNAAGAAACACAGGACTAAAATGCAGCTCGAGTTGGAAAAGCAGTCTAATTGACTTCTTTTTCTGGAAGTTATACATTTTCAATGTGTGAACTTGAACTCCCATGGGCCTGAAGCCTTATGCTTGTTACACAATTTACTTACATTGGTATTACCTGTTGAGCATAATTAAAATTTGATGTTGAATTTGCAGTTTAACATAATGTACTTTTACATCAGAATTGACAGTAGCCTATTTTGTTATTTCCTGCTTTTTGTCTGTACATTTGACAGCTTTGCTGCCTTGTACTTTCATTGGTATTACCTGTTGAGCATAATTAAAATTTGATGTTGAATTTACAGTTTAACATAATGTACTTTTGCATCTGAATTGACAGTAGCCTATTTTGTGCATAGTTATTTCCTGCTTTTTGTCTGTACATTTGACAGCTTTGCTGCCTTGTTTTTATTTTATATTTACACTAGCGTTTTTTCAATGAACATGACAATCTTAAAGATAAATTCTTAGAAGAATTTTTTTCTAAAACCAAAATTTGATTCTTGCAAATATGATTATAACATCTACAATGATTAAGGCATTTGGTGAAAGAGGGTGTTTGAATTGGATTTGTTTAAGATGCTAAACTTATTGTACTGTTTTTTATAGGTGGACCACCGAGAGGAGCCATGGCACAGAAAAAGGGATCTATTCAAGAATTTCAAGGATCCAAAAAGAAGTTTGATGATGACGATTAAGCCATTGATATATGGAATTGACAATATACAAACTTCTTTTTCTTTGACACATTTTTACAAGTTATATACACTAGGAATCAATCTGGTCAAATGACGGAAGACGTTGGTCCTAGTGTGACTAACAACCAAAACGGTATTCATGACGTTTGTACATCATGCTGAATGTAATATTTTATGTTATGACTGGTCAATTTCAACATTTACATTTCATCAATGTAATGTCTATATTTTGTCTATATTGTCTTTGTTGATGCAACAGTGCATCATTTTTTTTGTAAATAGTGAAAATGGTATTAAAATTAACATAATACCATTATTATTTTTTCGATGATAAGAAAAAATAAATATTAAAAACAATTGCATTGTTAAAATTTACACATGGAACTGATGGCTTCGTTTGACTAATACAAAACGGTAGCTGAGGGCAATTTTTTAATGGTCGAAGCTGGAAAGACTTGATTTTGTTTCGTTTAAATCAGTTGGCCGATTTGGGGCAGGGGAAGAGGGTACGTCCGAACCTTTGGGGCTGGCATGTGCCCGCTGAAAAAATAAAGGGGTGGCATTGGAGTGTTTTAAAAGATTGTGACATACCATCAAAATGGCTAGAACGGAGCATTTCATTAAAAAATGCCCAACTAATGCTCTCTTCATCAAAATACACAAATTTGAAGTTCATCTGTTGGTAAACAATCAGCTCACACTTTTCGCTAGGTCTAGAAGTTGATGAGCTACGCGGCCATGTAGTCGGGTTACATAATGTTGCCTGTGCTGTCTCACTGGTGGGACCCAGCCGGTTTTAACATAGCTTAAAAACTATCAAAACCTAGCTGTCATCTGTACCTGTAACATAAGTTTCCAAACTCACGATTACAGCCCATACCCATTCGCTTTTCTTACCATTGCCTGTCTTTTCAATTCTTTAACTAGCATTTAATAACGACTATCCCTATAAAACCAAACTTGAACGCAGTTTGATCATTCGATATTCGGGATGGAAGTCGAAATTTTAACAATGCCAGTTTTGATCCAACTTGCAACTCCTACCTCTTTCCCCCAGGCGCACGCACACATACACACACACACACACACGCACTTGACTAAACATTTCTTTCAATATAGAAATTACTGTTTTCTTGGCGTGGAAATTTTTTGGTATTTTGAGGGAGAAAGGTGCCATTTGGTACGGTTTAGAACTATGATCCGGCTAGTCCAAATTCTAGTCTCAAGAGGGGACCATTGGTGTGATTTTTTTAGAGATCGAAAGGGGGGGGGGGACTCCCCTCCCAACAAATCCGCCACTGGTGTAGCAAAGAACGTCTATCTAAAGTATGGGCTATACTTGTGTGATTAAATACATTATATTATGTGTTATTTAGTAGTAATTAGGCATATCAACCTCACTATAGTATAGGGAGTCTACTAATCTAAAATCCATCATCATTTGAGATGTATAATATGTTTCATTTGGTTTTAAATGGATGGTTAATAATATAATACCGCATCAATAATTGATACTCATATATTCAAGTTCAACCGCTTATGTTCGTTTGTAATTTTCCATTCATTCAAAACAATTTTCCAGATCAGAGAGGAATTTCATCAGCTGTGTTATGTTATAAGAATATATGCTTCAATCATCAACTAATGTTGAAATAGAAATAGTTAACCTCCAATATTTTCCAGTTCAGTGCTGAAGAAACCTACCGTCGTTATGCGTTATCTTTTTTTCTTTACGCCCTATGACATTTTTATGAAAAAAAAAAAAAAAAAAATCAGCACATGGGGTATAATATTCATTTGATGGTCCTTAATTAATCATAGAAATCTTTTTCGATTGATTAAAAAGATTAGCCTCATTCGAAAGAATACGCCAGCTACGTATTAAAAAACTAACGAGACATTTTTCTTCCAACAATGAGACCAAATGAGCTGGATTTTTCAGAGCTGGTAATTTTGATTGACCCAATTATATTCAATAGGCCCGTATCGCTACATATTATAAGCCCTTTTGTTCTTCAGGGAAAATTGAAAATCATTCGTGCTTAAACGTGTTCAGCAAATCGATGTTCGAATGCGAAGTAAGTTAAGGTAATATGCTTTAACAATTCAATTAGTTGTGCGTTTTCCCGGGAGAAATTATGAAACCATTGCAAATCCTGCTGAGAAAAATTAGCTTGGTCCACAGGGAAAACATATACAAAGAAAAGCAACACAATGAGTTTACGAGACGGACGTAATTTTTTTTCATGGGAAAGGGAAAAAATGATAAGTGTGATTTTCCAACATAGAAAGATATTTTAGGCCCATTCATTGTAGCTCTGCAATTCGCAGAAACGGAGAAAACATTAGACCTAAACATTCTCGACAAAAATTCCACTGAATGAATACTGACCAAAATTAAAAGCGTTACTTGATGTATGGATATTCATAGTCGATAGTCATCCTGTGAAAAAGTGAGTCAGACAAAAATAATGATTTGGCAAACGAGCGGCACCTATCCAAATCTTGAGGAGATCGAATTTTTTGCACCACTGAATGAAAAGAATTCCATTGGGTAATTCAGTGGCGGATTTCTGAAAAAAAAAAATCACACGGCTTCGCATCAGTGCCCCCCCCCCCCCCTTCCATTCAAATAATCCTGGATCCACCCCTCAGATAAGTGTAGGAAGTTTTTTTTATAATAATGTTGTCGTTTTTATCTCCCAAAATCGCCCATATTGACCCCCTTCGGTTTCTGAAAAATATATCACACCAATATTCCCCTTTTGAAATGAGAAATTTGACTAAACTTTAGTTCTAAAAGGTACCAAAGGGCACTGTTTGCTCTCTAAAACACCAAAAATTTTCGGGGCCCGAAAACCTCCTTCCTCCTTCAAATAATCCTGGATCCGCCCCTGCACTGTGGGGTTGCCCCACCCCTCGCAAAAAAAGACCGATTAACTGTAACGATTTGGATGTTATGCTCGTTAAATATAATTTGAATTTCACCGATTAATTCGATAAGGTCCGGTGAAATCTCCGCTTGTCTGACGTCACTAGTTGGCCTTGTCTTTTCTTGCAACAGGATCTTTAGCATTTGGAGGAAGAGAGCCCGCATCCATAAAACTTCCGTCTTCAGTGGCAATGCATTTCTATCATAATTCCACAAAAATAACATGAATTAAGAGCACCGAAATTTGAAATGGGAAATTGTTGCTCTGGCTGCCTAGGACGAAACAGAAAGTAAGTTCAAATGCTTTATCCAGGTATGAGTTTGTACATAGCCATTGCATATTTTGTGGGTTGGATCACTACACTAGCATAGTCATGTGATAATGAATGTGATGCTGAACCAATGTAGCACATGTATGTAGTCCCGCCATTCACTGAAAAGATGCAATTTTTTCTATGGGTTCCCATGCCTAGATTGGTCCATCTGGATTGGTCTAACTCCCTGGGGAGTCTCACTAAATTGCTATCAACTAAAGGGCTTAAATGTCTGTCACGCCTACCAAATCAGCTAGGGTTATAAAGATAATTAATTACCCCCTAACAGCTTTACTAGGCGTGACAGACATTTAAGCCAGTTAAGTCGATAGCAATTTAGTAAGACTCCCCAGGGAGATAGATCGATCCAAATATCTGTGGGAATGGTCCCTGTGTGTCTGTAGCTGGTCATCCATAGTGTTTATATTTTAATTGCTAAACTAAAGTTATATCATTTTAAGGTAAATGCCAAAAAACAGACAGACTTACATTTTACGTGTTGGTTATTTTTCTTAATCTTTAATATTCAAGGAACTTCTTTCGATCAAGATACACTGTTGATACTGAAATGGGTATTGAGGTAAGCAGGATTCTTCTGGCCTAGTTGTTTAAGAGTCTAAAGAAATTATTTTACTTGATTTTATTTTACTGGGTTAAATTTATATAATAAGCAGTCACGTCTTATTCCTTTATTGCATAGCAGTGGTTGTGATATTTGAACCGATGCATGATTGCTTTTTGAAGGGTTTTAGTTGTGAAAACTACAGAGAAGTATGTTAGTGAAATGAGTTATAATTTTATTTGTGACTGTTAGCAAATAACCACTTTCACAATTTCCTTGGTGGTTTCAAATGGTTAGCCATAACTGAACATAACAGTAATACAGTTTGTTTTTATTTTTTTAGTTTCAGAATTTGATGGACGAAGTAAGTATTTTTTTGGTTTAATTTTCATGATATTATAAAGCGAATAACTACTGCAAAAGCCTTTCCTATGTGCCCTTTTACTAGTACTTATAAAGATACAATGCATACAAGATATGTATATATTTTTTCTTATAAAGATACAATGTATAGATCATAGATGTATTATGATGAAAGGATTTCAAGACAAATGAAAAGTGAAGTGCATTTTTTAAGATAAATTTTCTCAAACTCATTTGTATGTTTGTTACACTCAGTTCTGTTGTCATTTCAGGAAGCAAGTGCAACTGAAATAAACAGGTAATGCAGTGTCAATTTAAGTTTTTACATGTATTAGAAAGGCACATAAGTATTTGTTCACTTATGTCACTAACTCTTTTGTCTTCATTAACATTATGTATTCCATGTGTTTAGATTGCATTATCTAGCCTTAATTTCTAACAAAATGATGTGATGAAGTTCCTCACATCTGTAAACTGCTACACAGAAGAAATAATATCCAGCAGTAGAACTTTGTACGTTCAAGAATTACTGGTCAGATCTGTAAATGGCATAATGAAAAATTCCAAACAGGGAGAATCAATAAAAGATGAGGCAAATATTTATATCCTTTCATAGATTTGATTTTTGACAAATGGCAAGTTCCAAATTCTGCTTTTGTTTTGCTTTTTCAAAATTATACAATGGCATTGGTTTCAGCTAGAATTGCAAGGTACTACTCATAATAAGTACATTGTCAAACTTCTGACCGCCATTGCACAAGTGTTACACTGGTTACACTTTGACAGAAGAAAACTCATGAATTACTGTTTCTTCTCCCTGCCTACAGAGGGCGCCTTCAAATTGATGCTCCATTCACAGTTTCAGAATATGCAGGTTTGGTATGTCACAGTATGTTAATATGTCGCAGTATGTCATAAGCCACAATCCTGCTAGATGTGATCACTGCATGATAATGTGTTATGTATATTTTACATCACCCAAATGTCAGTACTGTCCAGTTCACCACTATCTTGCTTATTTTATTTTCAGTGTTGTTAGTTTGTTTTATGTTTATGTATTCTTTATTTTGTCTGATTTTGTTTGTTGTAGAACTATTTCTGACCATGAACGAGAAGTACTGAAAAGTGGTTTATATGAGCAATTAGTGCATGAACAGAAAAAGATAGATGCAGAAATAGATGCTCAGGTACTCAATTGATTTGTTCTATGTATTGATATTTGCTATATCAAAGCCATAAATGTTTTGCTATTATTGTACCACCAGCGTTAGCGCTGGCGGTACACATGGTTTCGGTCTCGTCCGGATCGTTCCGCCGGCTCCGCCGGCTCCGCCGGCTCCGCCGGACGGCTACCGTTACCGCTTCTCCTCCTAGACGGTAAGGCCCCCCATACCCATCTCATGGATTTAGGTCACCTATAATCTCAACTCGTTCCACGTAAAATTTGGGCTTTGTCGGTATTGGGGTCTGGGTGTGGCACTCATTGCAATGCACCCTTGTCCAAAAATGGCAAAATTAAATGCTAATTATCTACCCTACGGAAGGAGTTACGGGAAAAATTTCTACAGACGGCTTTCCAAAAGTCATATGTGTAGATTTCAAATATACCCTCGGATTTGACCTTTGACCTTTACTTCAAGGTCAAATGGGCCAAAATTTTCAAAAAAATGAAATTTTTTACGAAAAAAAAATTTTTTGCCCTGTTATTCAGACACCACACAGACTTAACCAATAATATTATTGGAAAGTGTTACCCTTCAGGTCATCTTTCATCTCCGTGAATTTGGGGTCAATCGGTGCATTTTCACAGGAGTAGCGGCCATAAGATACCGAAACTGAAAACTGTCTCTAATTCGGGAACCGTTAATGCTAGAGACCCATTCTTTTTTGCATTTTGTAGAGCATGTAAAGCCCAACACTGG